TACAAAAACAACCAACTTCATTAAAATCTATGATAAGCTAGCATTTTTTAAAATCCTCTCAAGAATTGTGCTTTGTGATCTTCGAAAAATATGTTTTGATTTTTTATAAAAACCCAATGAAACAATAAATTAAGTTATTATTTTCTTAAAAAATTATACTTATAAACTACAATTTCGCAAATCTCTCTCTTTTTTCTTGTCTAAATTTATTTTTCGCTTTTTTGCTTAATTTCGGCGGGGGGCAACGGATAATTTTGTTTGCTAATACATATGTTTATGGATTATAGCTCAACATTGGAGGGTCCTCATCCCAAGAGTAGTCAATCTTTATTCTGTTTAAAATATTTTTAACTCACTCCCGACATTTTTCCTTGTACCTACTTTATTTTCTAAATTTCCACAAAATGAGATAAAATTTTGTATACATCACGTGAGCTAAAATGTTTATTCATTCGAAAAAAATTAACCCACTCGCTAGGGCTCGTGTGTTAAAATTTCTTCTCAAGAATAAACATTCATTTAACTCACTTGGTGTATAAATAACTATTACTTTTACGCCCCCCGTTTTCTCCTCCAGATGCCTTTTCCAATCGGAGTACCTTACCCAACGATTGTCGCCGATTAACTGATCTTCTTCTCTCTGGGTTTGAAAAAATTATAACAAACATGCTGTGATGTTCAAATATACTTACCGGGGGTTCCAGGTCCAGGGATCTTTCAACCCACTGAAATGTATTAACCGACGTTTGGTGCACTTGCTATTTTAACATGTTTTAACTACTTTGAAAAGTCGCTCAATATAGATAAGTGGTGGGTGACTGTAATAGTATATTTCCTAACTAGTGCGGAAAGTACCACTTTTTCGCACGCGATTGCAGTTTGCCGAAAGACGCGCAGCGGAGTTCGGCAAGCAATCAAGTGCGGAGAAGAGACTTTCCGCACGAGTTCGGATTACTATTTTTTCTACGAGATGAAAGTTGATATTTTTACCTACATATTTATCAATTTCAGATATTTTTTTCCCTTTTTCGTACCTGTACCTGTAGTATACCTGTAGGTATACCTGTAAGTACCTGTATACCTAAAAATTTCAGGTATTCTACCTACCGGAAAAGCACTAGTGCGGAAAAGTGGTACTTTAATGACCTAAAATGCGTGCTGAAAAGTACACTTTCCCGCACGCTCGTAAAAAAAAATCTTTACGCTCATACATATATAATTTTGTCGATTGGTTATGGGATAGGTATTTTAATTATATCATTTAGTTAATCTGTGCTCAGTGCACTTTAGATTCTCATGATGTTTTTAAGGTTGTCTGGTTTTAACGTTTTCATATATGTATAATACCACAAGAGAAAAAATTTTGTTGGCAAAATTTTCGACTGGTATGAAAGTTTGTTGCTTGGCAATTTCGCGAATAAAATTTTTGACAAAACCACGAGCCGTCAGGCGAGTGGATTTGTCAAAAGTTCCATGAGCGAAATTACCAAGAAGCAACAAACTTGAATAAAACTAAGAGAATAATTTTTACTACAGTCGTGCGGAAAAATCGATTTTCCGCACTGATATGCGTGCGGAAAATGAGTTTTCTCGCACGGTGCGGTAAAACTTTTTTTTTTCACATATCAGTGCGTGTAGGTAAATAGCTATTGCCTACATAATTTTTTCTTGAGTGGTATTCGGCTGGACTATTTCACGAGAAAAACAAGCCAAATTTTCATTTGGAAAATTTATTTTCTTTAGGTGACACTTGTCAAACTCAATAGTTTTTTACACTAACCAAACAAAATTTTGTCGCTGAAAAACCATCATGTTAGTTTTGTCCAGGTAGGAACAGGTAGGAGTTTTGTCAGTAGGAAACCGGCCGTTCCTATGAAATTTTGCCAGTGTAAAACACTCTATGGCCATTTGCACCGCTATAACTTAAGGGATTTTTGATCCAAGTGGAGCTTTGAATGTGACCCTCGTAGAAACAAAAGTAACATTCTAAGCTCCACTTAGAATAAATATTCCTTAAGTGATGGCCGTGCAAATGGCCACTAGTGAAATAGTCAAATAAAATGCAATAATTTTTCAAGCGACTTTGCTTTATTTGAAATATTCATACATAATTGGATAAAATCATTTTATTACAATAATAACATTTTGCTTGTGAATCTGGTGGACCATCAAAATGAGTTTTCCATTCATCTCTATTGTAATGGATGAAACATGGTAACTTAATTTGCAGTAACAGATTATTTTTGTAACTTATTGGTAATTTACCCCATGCATCCAAAAGTTCAAAGGACTTTGCGTGTTTCAATAAATAATCCAACGGAATTCTCAATAGTTCTTCGTTTGTAAAATCTGAGAGTAATTTTTCACCATTCATAATATGAGCTAGAACATTGTCTATAAAGAAACAACCTCAGAGGGAACAACAATTCATTTTTGAGTTTTTTCAGTGTGGATGTTTGTCAATGGCCGCGTTCACCAGATACAAACGTTGGTAAACGGTTTGCGATTGTTCTGCTGAACGCTACGTTGAATTTGTACTAAAACCAAACATGTTTTGCAAACGGTCGCCATTTTTGCAAGCGTAATTTCAGATTGTTTATAATTTTCAACACTGTATTTTGTGTGGTGACCTGTCATTCGGAAGGTGACGTCCTATCATTGAAAAATTGAATCGTTTAGCAGAACCAAGAGTTTACTCAACATATTCTGTTGGTATTTGTAAACTGTTTACAATCTGTTTTGGTTCTGGTGAACGTAGCCAACTCTACTACTATTTGATAGGATCCTTTAACAATAACGGTCTGCTTTTTATTTTGCATCCTTTTAAGAACTTCTATATCCCATCGAGTTTGAAATACTATTGACGAATAAAAATGCAGGAATTGTTTAAATATTCTTCAGTTTTCAAGAAAGTAAAGGGATATGGGATGGGAAGAGATACTATTTCAGAGTAAAACCTTTTAAACGTAGTAGAGGTGGGTATTGGTTTGATACCTGAAGGCTCTTGAGCGTGGGAACTTTTTCGATACCGTGGGAAATTCGACGCCTTTGATCTGAAATTTTGGGAATTTTACCCGGGCCTACCGTGGGAACTTTTTCGATACCGTGGAAAAATCGGCGCCTTTGATTTGAAATTTTGGGAATTTGACCCGGGCCAACCGTGGGAACTTTTTCGAAACTGTGGGAAAATCGGCGCCTTTGATCTGAAATTTTGGGAATTTGACCCGGGCCAACCCCAAAATTTGTGAATCTGGTGGACCATTTACGTAGGAGAGGTGGATATTGATGGCTGGGGAGCACTTGAGTCAAAAAAGTGCTCAGGAGCTTTACGGAAGGGGGTTTACAGTGGAGGTGGGTAGTGGTATGATGACTGTGCTGGAGGGGCGTTTTACGTGGTAGAGGTGGGTATGTGGTCTGATAGCTGTGAAAACACTCTACTCTTATAGTTCCAGGAATAAAATCACGCTAAACAATTTGGGGTAAAGAAAGAGGCACGATTAACATTGAAAATAGGCCCCCGTGAATTTCAACCAAATTTCAATATTTTAAAGGTATCATCATTGCAAATAATTTGAAATATGAAGAGGATCGTATGTCTGTGATAGCAGATATAGCTTGTCAAAATATGTAGGTCCTGCTATGCTATGCATAGGAAATATCTCTACGTAGATTTTTTTGAATATTTCGAAAAATACTAATCTGATTTTGATCTTTTTGGAGTTTGATACCTACAAAAAGACCCCAAAAACCTCAAAATCGGATTCGTATTTTTCGAGATATTCAAGATAATCTACGTAGGGATATTTCCTCGGATATTTCCTATGATAGCATAGCGGACCTACGTACTTTGACGAGCTATATCTGTTATCACAGACATACGATACTCATCACATTTCAAATTTTTATTTGCGATGATGATATCTTGGAAATATTGAAATTTGGTTGAAATTTACGGGGGCCTATTTTCAATGTTAATTAATTGTGCCTCTTTCTTTATCAATTTTTCAATTTTTCTGAGTGCCTTTTTTCATAGAATCGGCTCCAAATCTCGGAATAATTTAGTGTATGGAGTTCGAGGGATCCCAAAGGACCATTAGGACGCAAAATCTCAACAACAAAAAAATTGAAATTTCATCGTTTTAGTAGAAAGGCTACCTTATGATTTAGATTTTTGAAAACATTGAAAGGTCATAACTTTTTTTCTATTAGAGATAGAAAGCTGGGAATAATTTAGTGTATAGAGTTCGAGGGATCCCAAGGGAACAATTGGAACACAAAAGCCCAACAAAAAAAACTTTGAAATTTCATCATTTCAGTACTAAGGTAGCTACGTTATGAATTGGATCTTGGAAAAATTTGAAACGTCATAACTTTTTTTCTATTAGAGATAGAAATCTGAATTTCCAGCGGTTCTTATCCCAGTAGAGGACTACGAATCCCTGGAAATTTCAACTCATTGGGACTTATAGTTCTAGAAATAAAATCGTGTTAAGCAATTTGGGGTGATTCATCAATTTTTCAATTTTTCTGAGTGCCTTTTTTCATAGAATCCGGCTCCAAAACTCGGAATAATTTAGGGAATGGAGTTCGGGGGATCCCAAAGGATCATTAGGACACAAAATGTCAACTAAAAAAAACTGGAAATTTCATCGTTTTTTTAAGAAGGTAGTACCTTATGATCTAGATTTTGGAAAACTTTGAAAGGTCATAACTTTTTTTCTATTAAAGATGGAAAGCTGAAATTTTCAGCGATTCTTATTCCAGTAAAGGACTACAATCCCTGGAGGCTGGTAGGTAATATACCCGTAGTCTCACTTTTTTTTAATTTGCCAATTACATTGAGATCCTTCCGAAATTTTTTCATAGCTACTTCATAATAAAGATTTCATTGGAGTTTCTATTTAATTGTACCTACCTTAATTTACTTTTTTCAGGATCGTTACATCGATATGATTCATAATACCAACAAAACATATAGTAAAAAAAAATATGTAAGTATATCTTTTTTAAAACATTTATTTTTATGTTAAACAAAGATATTATTAAACACTTGTAACAGTAAAAACCACATTTGAACTCTTCCGAAAACGATCTTCAACCAGCTACTTCCTGGTCTAATCCCCAGTGCTCAGGTTTTCGTTGCTGATCAAAGACCCTAACTGTAAAAAAAATAATAGGTCATTCATTTATCATTTTATATGTGAAATTTAGATGTTAGTATGTGCATAGTTTAGAGCAAGGTTGCATAAGTTGGAACTTTACAAAATGCTTCTTCAAAGTTCATAAAAGTACTAACACTTGTAGGAGATATTTGGGAAAAACCATTTCCAGCAACTTTTCAAATATTTTCCGACTTTATTCGAAAAAATATAGTACCTATTCATCATTTTCAATGCGCCAAAACTCTCAACTTTGCTGGTATTTAAACAACTGTCACTTTCCAAATCCTCCATGCATACCTTCACTCAATATTTGAAACACCCTTGTCCTACATAAGCATCGACCTACCTGAGTAGTTAAGACAGTTGTCGATGTCTGCATCTGTTCGGCAATCCTTTCGATAGCCATTTTTTCAATGTGCCGCCACAATTTCGGATATTTCGAGACAACATCCGTAAAGTTTTTCCTTTCCAGTTTGAAAAGTTCGCAGGCCGTTACTGCTGTTACGGTTGCCACCTTAAACCACAATGCAATATGAACTAATTTTATAATAAAAGTATGTGGAAATTTAGAAACTTTTTTCTTTTCTTTCAAAATTTATAAATTCAATAATAAATAAAATTAATGTTACCCTGGCTATTTTGATTACTAATGCAACTTCGCCAAAATGAGTACCATCTCTCAGATAGCAAATTGTATCACCTTCAGCATTTGTCACTTCAACGGTGCCATATAGAAGGAAAAACATACAACGTCCTGAAAAAACATTATATTTAGGGACAAAATTGTTTAAAATCGAGCTTACTCGTTGAAGCAGAAAATTTATCATTTTACTTGTTCCGAGGTTATTTCGTGACCTACCTGGTGTTCCAGCTCTAATAATAACATCCCCCGGTAAAAATATTTCTTGAACAAGAATAGACCGGACTTGCTTTAACAAATCGGCGGGCATCTTACTAAACATGTCAACTTTTTGAATACTTTCTTTTGTCGCTGCAAGCAGAATTTCCTTTCTCAAAAACGACGAAGATGTTCTACGAATAACTGAATCCTTGTAGAAGTGCCTTTGGTATTTAAACTCCATATAGTGGTGAATTCTCTTACGTAAAGGTGTGGGCAAAGCCCTGTAGTGCATATAAGCATCGACCGATCGGTAAATATTGGTTTGCTGGTTTTCTTCGGAGAAAAATCTGAACCACAAATCTCTTGTCTATAAACAATAATGGTAAATACACTGTTTTTGTTGCTATTGCTTATTAATACCTGAACAAGTACCATTAAATGAAACATAAATCCAAGTAGAATGAATATAATGGAAAGTTCTCGACTGATATTCTGACCATAACTGACCATGAAAATCATTTTCAATGTGGCTATAGCGTGGTGGAGGAAATTTCTCACGTGATACTCTCTTACATTAGTCTAAAAGTTTTGAGATTATTGTTTAGGATATCAAAAATCAAATTGCTCAGTCCACAATAAGAATCTGTTTGTTTGAGGATGACCGATTTCTTATTTGTTTTGTGTTGAAATTATGTGATAATAATTCATTTACCATTATTTTATAGAGAATAAAAATTGCCAGTTCAAGTCCCACCACAAAGTTTAGCATCATTTGGAAAAAATTAAACGCGAACGAACTTATGCCGATATATTTGCGATATCTTCGTAAAACTTGTGAAATCCAGATGAATCTAAAAGAAAAAAAAAAATATTCAAATAGTGTACCGAGAAGTAGGGATAACCTCCTCAAAAATTACCGAAGGTTTCATCCTGAAAATGTTTGGTCTATTATTGTATGAAAAAAATTCGAATGGTGGAAAAACTTCTGGATAGCAAAATCCAGCCCTCAATGGTTGATGAGTTAGAGAACCAAAGAGATGCACTCAGAAATTTGACTTTAAATGAGAATTTAGTAATTAAGTAATCTCTTACTATTATAGTTCTACTTGTCAGATGTTATACAAATCAGTGTATTCGAAGAAGAGGTTCTTATGAAAGGCCACCTATATCCTCAGACATTTGCTCTTCAACCGAAACCCGATATTTTGAGGAAAATTGTTTGAAGACGTATTGACAGCTAGAAGGTATCGGGAAGTAGAGACGTAGTGAGGGGGAAAACTCCGGAGTAGTTTCTACCTCCACTGGAAAATCCTTCAGATTTCCAGAAGTTTTCTTAAAACTCCTCAATTGGAAGTTAAAATCTTGTTAGTTATAAAAAAAGTTTTAATTGTCTAAAATGTCTAAAACTAAATATCAGTCACCACAGAGGAGGCCAGAACGTGTCACCAAGTTACAATTGCAACTCAAAGCAATGAAACCAAAAATGAAATTAAAGAGCGATATTCTACATTAAACCACATGATTCGAGTTGTATCGTATTGTAGGAGACAAACGAATCTGCACACTCTACTCCTACTCCCATGAAATGGGAGACACCCTAACACACCTAGTCAAGATTGATCAGATCCAACATTTCAAAGAAGAAATACGAAAGCTGAAAAAAGGGTCACAGCTAAACAGTAATAGCAAAATTCTCAATCTTACTCCATGGCTGGACGATGAAGGAGTTTTACGAGTTGGAGGAAGATTACAAAACTCAATGTTAGGTTACGATAGCAAACATCCAATTAGCTTACCCTATGCGAGTCACCTGACAAAGCTAGTAATATTGAACGCTCACGCCAATACACTACAGGGAGGCAATAAGCTGATACTATCATATACAAGAGGTCGTTTTTGGTTAATAAATGGAAAACGCCGAGTAAAGACGATTATTAGTAACTGTGTAAGATGCTTGCGATTCAAGACTCAAAGAATTGAGCAACAGATGGGAAATCTTCCAGTTCCCAGAATTACACTGTCACACCCATTCCTGCATTCCAGTGTCGACTACGCAGGACCTATCTAAATCAAAAGTTCAAAGGGCAGAGGTTAAAAATTCCACAAAGGGTATATTTCAATCTCTGTCTATCTTGCTACAAAGGCAATTCACATAGAAGTTGTCAATGATATGTCATCAGACACGTTCCTGGGTCCTTATTCTTGAAACAGGGGAGCAGCGTTCCCAGGAGAACGAGTGTTCCGTTTTTCTCAATGATATGCAAATGACAATCAGGCCTATGATGTATCATTTTTTGTTATTTTAACAGCAACGTTAAGTTATGTCACTGTTTATTCTATACATCAAAATAGAGACAGGTATGCTGTTGAGCTATAACACAGCTGTTAAAATAACAGGAGAGGATCCATCATAGGCCTGAATATAAGGAACAAAGACCAAATACTCGTTCTCCTGAGAACGCTGCTCCCTTGTTTCAAGAATAAGGACCCAGGGCTGGGACTCTGTAACGAATAGAGATATTTGCTTTATCTCTATTGACGTCCCCTCTCTATTGATTTCGAAAAGAGAGAAGAAGACAGCAAGTGCCATAGCGATAGGGATAACGATCTTTATCCGACATAGTTCCAGCCCTGGCAGCTTTCCGGATATTTATTTCCAGACGCGGAGGATGTGCGCATCTATACAGTGACAATGGCACCAACTTCATAGGAGCCAGTAAGTCAGAGGTCCAAGATACCTTAGTTGCAGTTGGAACTCAATGGCACTTTATTCCCCCAGCTTCTCCACACTTTAAGAGGATTATGGGAAGCTGGCGTCAAGTCTATAAAGTACCATTTAAAACGAATAATTGGCGATACACCACTTGCTTATGAAGAAATGACTACATTAACTCACCAAATAGAAGCTTGCCTTAACTCTCGACCTCTGTGCCCATTATCAGATCATCCAGATGATTTAGCAACATTAACTCCATAGGTCAATTTCTAATTGGAAGAGAAATTATATGTTCTCCTGATCCAATAACTACAAACATAAACTCGGACGTTGTTGAAAGATGGAAGCTAGTTCAGAAAATTATCAAAGATATCTGGAAGAGCTGGACAAGTGACTATCTCCATCAACTTCAGCGGCGTTACAAGTGGAAGAATTACCAGGATTCACTCAAAATTGGAGATTTACTTCTAGTAAACGATCAGAATATCAACCCAAGCAAATGGCCAAGGAATCACTGAAGTGCATCCAGGTAAAGACACAACTGTTAGAGTGGTCACTATAAAGAGAGCAGAAGGAGGCCTGATCAAGAGATCTACGCATCACTTAATTCCAATATTGTCAAATGCCGAGACTGAACAACAGCGAGTCCACAACAATAACCAACGAAGCCCAAGACAGCACTGGAAAAAGATATTGATCGCCATTCTATTTATTGTGATGCTCCAAGGGTCCAAAGCAAATCAATATTCGATACATTATGTATTATTATTTGGAAATAATAAATGATGCCAAACTTGAGTCTTTAAAGCTTTATTTTAAATGACTACAAAAAGACAACCAAAACTATTAGGCATTCCAACGACCTGTCAAAAAGTGCGTTGTGGCAGAAGTTCATTATCCCGTATATGAGAGTATGTAATTTAAAGCTTTTTAAAGTGCATTTTGTGGTTGTTTTGTGAATGAACTCTGTTTATTTTTTTATTTTATAGACTTCATTAGTGTTTCTTCCAATTAAAAATTCCACAAACGGGTCTTGAAGGTGATTGCGGAAGTAGTTTCAACAAGGTAACAAGGATGATGTCAGGCTTTTTTTCATTGCCCTTTGTTTTAAAATTTTCCAATTAAAACGTGAAAATTTTTCACTACCACTGTTCCTGCATCTGAAATAAAGCCATTTTCGAAATATTCGTAAGAATCTAAGCTTTTGTAGGCCTTCATTTGCTCATTAATGTGAACTGTGGATCAACATGTCATCTGGACATTTTTTTAAACTAATCGTTCGCCCAGATCCCGATTTTCCTGCATTCAAGTCTTTAAATATTCACTCTGCATCTCAAAAAGTATATTATAACAAAGTAAACTGTAATTAGCTTGAAAATATTCCAAATAAACTCAAGATAAACAAACAAACGTCAAATTTTCCACGGTCGCCATATTGAAAAATCACGTGGTTTGGAGAGCCTAATAGGGCAAGTACACGATCTGACAGTTTGACACTATTGACAATCGCCTCGAGGTAAAACAAAGATATAATTTAGTGTTTTTTAGGTTTTTAGTTAGATTTTTTTAAATAAATACCTTTTGTGTGCTCCAGAAGTTTCTTGGACATGCCTAGAGTTTGTTTAGTTGTTAATTGTGGCAGTATAGCGCAAGGCATACAATATCCTTCCATAGATTTCCATCAATTTTAAATAACAATGGGAGGTTTAATTTGTTAGCTCAGGAGAGAAGAGAAAAATTGATTAATGTTCTTAAAAGAGAAGATCTGACAGAAAAATAGATTGAATATAGAGCGTATAACTATACTTATATATTTGTTCTTGTGACACTTGGTTTTGATATTTGTTGGAAAAAACCTGAATTTAATCCATTATAAAAAAACCTAGAAAACTTTTAGATGAAAGACCACATAGACTGGAACACAAACACTCCGCTCTAACTTTTTTAAAACAAAATAACACCAAAACTTGTGAAAAAGCTGTAAAACCGCATAAAACATAACCGGCCTAATCTAAACGAATGTAAATAAATGATTTGTTTTACCTCAGGGCGACTGTCAAACTCATTTGTGACGTCACATGGACATGCCCTATTACAACTCGGTTGACAACATCTTGACAATCACAGAATCGCCAGTCAAATATGCACTAGGCAACCTAAAACAATGATCTATTCTACTTAATAATACATCCTTCCTCTTAAGAATTTTACAAATTTAATTTTTGTACAGGTTTAGTGGTGCGACCTGATCTAGTTATAGAAGTTTTTTGAAAAGTGGGTTCTGTGTTGGACTTTAAACTAAATTCAACATTAGGAACAACACTACACCTAGCACTAGACTTAACATTATCTTCAAACACACAAGGACTTTGCAATGGACTTTGAATAACAGGACACTCAGTAGATTTGTGAGACTCCAGAGGTTCTAAAATATCATTTGAATTTGATTTGACATTAAAATCATTTTGTGATTCTCTCAAATCTACTCTCCATTCTCATTCTGAACAATGAATGAACGAGGACTTTCATGCTTCATCACAATTTGGCCAGGCTCCCACCTTTTTGTAATGTGATTGAAGACAGTGACATTTTGACCTGGGTCAATATCTGGCAAATATTTTGCATTTCTATTGAAATAGGGTTTATTGCGATTCAATCTGCATTGGAGTTTATCAGAAACATTATTGCAAAGTGTTGGCTTTAAAAGGTCAGCAGAAATGGGAATTTTTGTTTTACAAGTGCGACTCATTAAAAGCTGAGCAGGGGAATCTATATATATAAAAATTAATGCCACTTTTCGTTGTAATTTTATAACTCAAGAACGGGCTCACCTAGCCAAACCAAATGTTTAGACTTTGTTCGGACTATTTATTAGATGGTTTATGTGAAGTTTGCACAAAATCGGTCGAGCGGTTCTTCATTTATCACATTTTTTGTAATAAATGAATTATTCAATAAATGGAGGATCATTTTGTTAATGGGGATTTTGCTGTCAAATTGAAACTTTTTTCAGCGTTGACAGTACCAGCATGTTGTTATGTCATTAATGTGGTCATTTCATTACTTATTTATTTATTTATGTAAAAAATTTACTAAGCCCGCATACGGCGCCATCTCTTATAACCGATACCAGGT